TTTTTTTTTTTACCCACAGGTACAGATGACGACTGACAGAACCCTTTCTACGATGAAACCAAAGCAAGAAAAAAGGAAAAAATCTACGGCTAAGCAACGACTCGTATCTTGAAAAATGTAATCTTAACTGAATCGAGTCACTCGTATCGCAAGGCAGCACTGTCCTACACAAAAATGCAGTATAACAGGACACAGCTTTACAATGCACATCATCTGGAACAGTACGTATCAATCTTTATCTAAAAATATGACCCCCTGCCCTTCTCCCCAAAAATACATAAATAAATAAATAACGTTCTCAATACTAATGAATGACTTGCAATGGGTCTGGCTGTTCAGTACAATCTGAATAATACAATATCAGCTGCGTACACAAAAGAATTTTACCTAGCCGACACCAAATAAAAATTGCATCTAGCTGACAGCCTAATGCTTATTGGCTCGCGACACTTTCTGGCTGTTCCCTTTCTATTCTAGGTCTACCCGGCATCGTCTTCACTTTTCTTTTATAAACTACCTAACTATTTTTGCACTTGTAAGGCAGTTCAGAATGTTACATAAAACATAGATGTTAATCACGTTTTGAAGATGGCACCGGTTTGACCCTGGAACAGAATAATCTCCACTCAGAAATATCACGTAGGGGGGGGCTAATCCTGTAAAATTAGCACCTATTTCCAACGGGAGCGCGCATGGAACACACACACACACACACACACACACACACACACACACACACACACACACATTTACACAAATGCTGACACACAGTGCCACAGCTGTGCAGCTAAATGTCCCAAAGTATTTACCTCTCTCCTTTACACAACCACAATAACTCTTGAGGCCCTTTTGTCCCATTGTTCATCCTACACTCTTTTGCAGAATAATGTGTGCATGAGCGCTGTTTGTACACGCGCGCACACGCACACACACACGCGCACACACACACACACACACACACACACACACACACACACACACACACACACACACACACACACACACTGCATTCAAAATGCTTCCTGTTGTGTGGGTCAGCTGTGCTAAGGGTGCTATGTTCAACAGCCCCTTTTCATGCCACTAAGAGCCATGCATTGGCTTTTTAGCAAAAGTGGTGTCATATCATTGGCGATAAGGTTTTTGTTTTCAACTCAAAGCCCGACCAAAATGTGCGACCTGTCCATTCAGACTGTGGTCGCATCGCAAAAATAAGATATGTATCTGCACTTGGACACATGATGACATAAAAAAAAAAAGTCTGATACATATGGCCAAAAAAACCCCCCAACAGATTTAGGCGACTAGTAAATGTACCCTGCTTCTCTTTCCCAAAGTCAGCCCATCTGCTACCCTAATGAGAACTGTCACTCTCGAGAATGGATGGACGTACGAGTAAGTGAGAAACTAGGATGGTACATTATTAGTAAGCATAAAGCAAACCTTCCATTCGTTGTTAATAATTTCATTTTTTAGTTTATTGTAATCAATCAACGAACAAATAAATACCATTGAAACCCCTGTGGAATGTACCAAGGCCCCCCCCCCCCAAAAAAGCCTTGCCCTTGCTCTGTTTTCATTCGGGAAGTTAATTCTTGTTCAACTTTCGAACCAAATTTTCCTCAGAACAGCATTTCAAACCCCCAATTGTTTGGTGGCAGAAGCATCTCGGTGTAGACGACACTCACATTGCACACTAAAGATGCACCTCAGCTATACATTAAACCAGGTGACATTTCCTCCATCTTCATTTTTCAATAAAATCATTCTAAGTGCCCGATACTGTCCTGCGGTTAAACCACGGTACATTCCAGTGAGTGTATCAAAGCGGCGTGCCGGTGAGCTCACAGCAAAGCAATTGAGGAAGTGTTTGCTCGGCACTCTCTTCTCACCAAACTGCGCGCTCTTGCCCCCATGGCGTACATGTGACAGTTTGGCTTCAGCTTCCTGCACGCTCACTAAATATTTCAATGCATATTTGCTTCGCATTCACTCGTACACACATGTGGTGCACACAGCACGTCCCACGGTACACTCATTTTGAGAGGGATGTTTTGGAACATAATGATGTGCAATCGTGGCGATAAATGCTAACGGTAGCTCCTCAGGAGACAAGGAGCCACATTCAGTAACCCAACTGTGGGGCCAGAACGGATGCCACATGGCTCACTATAAAGGCCATATGAATTCTTCCTGCCAATCAGATCACAATGAAAAGTAGTTATTGAAAGAATGACAGTAAATGGTGCATCCATTTGGTGCTTGTTCTTATTTGGGTCGTGGGTGAGCTGGAGCTTATCACAACTGACTTTGGGTGATCAGTGTCTGCGGGTCACACCCTGGACCTGAATGCCAGTCCATCACAGTAAGAAAATAAATCGAAATCCCCATTGAAAAAGTATTTTAATTTGTGCCGCCTACTTACTTTACGAACAAAATGTCGCAACATCAATGTAAATTTCGCAAGAAACAATGCATAAGGCAACCTAGGTATGATTGGAAGGTGTGTTTGGTATGTTGGATTTATCTCATTTTTCAGTTTCTTCTTGAGATTTGTAACATTTCATTCAGTTCAGGTCCTTTTTTCTTTGACGATTTCCATTTTGTGTCACTTGTTTTGTTATTTTTTTCACAAAACTCAGTTCACCTAAACCTTGAAATCTTGAAGTGATGTCATATGACACGTTGCACAATACTCTGTGTAAAATTGGTATCACGGAAAAGATTGTAAAATCAGGACATTCTCACTTTCATTTTTAACCAACGTAAAAGACACATTTTATTATTAGTATTATTAATATTAGGGATTTGGGGAAAAAAACAAACAAAACTATATATTTTTCCTTTGTGCTTGGGATAGGAATGAATGAATGAATACATAGATAAAAATGAAATTGGTTAAATACATTGTATTCATTAATCAGTAACAGGGCATCACAAAAATGAACACAATGTGGTATAATTGACTGGGACTATAATGTTTAAAATTGATTTTTAGGATTACAAAAATATTTTATGGATACTAATGAAATATGAAGGAAAACTAAATGAAATGTATTGTATTTTCTTTATGGGGCGGGGGGGGGTGTTGATAATTTAATTTGAGAATGCACAGGGATCAACTTCGGGCCCACACAATCTTTTGCATTCATTTGAAAATAATCAACTCTTACCTGAAAATTTATTTAGAATATAAATCACAACCATAACTCCAAATTACAAGAATGTACATAGAGAAAAAAAAAAACACAGCATTGCTTACCTTTGAGGGTCAGGTGCAAAGTGGAAATAATCACCACAGGGGGACTCAGAGAGAGAGACAGACAGAGAGGGAAAAAGCAGCAATATCAGGATGGACGAGCGAGCTCACCTCTGGCACGTGCTCATAACAGATGCCCACCTTTGTGGACACAGTTTATATGCGCTGCAGGGTGGGGCCACATGGGGTGGGCGGCCCAGCCAGAGCCCGCTTGGAAGAACAGGAGGGAGGGTTTGGAGGCTACTAAACCCCCCCCTAAAAAAAAACAAAGCAGGAACTTATTCCACATAGTGGCATGAAAACATATTTGTCGTCTGAGTACCCACAAAGATAACAAACAAAGAGCCATTTTTGTCGCCCACTTTCGGTGATCTAATGCACTGAATGCATTAAAATAAGCCACAGTGGAGGCATTGTTGGGCTTTCACCTGTTCTGATACACGTCAAAGAAAAACCCAAACAGACGACAAGCAAGCATGCGTCCCGACGGACTGTATGTATAATTAGAGGAGTCAAGAAATTACATCAAATTAAAGAAACCGATGTTGTGATGTGACGTGATGTGTTATTGCAATGAAGACACAAACACACAGGACCCGAAAAAAAAAAAAAATGAAGTCACAAATTCCAGATTGCTGTGCTGAAACTGGAAGCAATGCTATGAGTACTGTAGCTGTGTGTATGTGTAAGGATATAAATATGATATTAATCCGGTGTTGCTTCTAGGTTGTGTCATTCAAAGAAGTGAGTATTTTTTTTCGGAAAAAAAAATAAAACAATTCCAAAAATGATCTCCCTGCAACCTCACTATTACCTCGACTCATCAAGGAATCATAAATGGGGTGCAGACTTTTTACTTTTTACTGAAAAATTCCAGACTGGTGTCTCTTGCTTTTTATTTGGCTTTTTCGCCCACGAAAAACACGTTGGAAAAGCATCAACATGAATGCAACACACCTCTGTTGACTATTTTGACTAATCATTAGCAATTCAGGGATTTTTCCACAGGAAACACAGCTCACTCAAAGCGTGAAAATTGGAGTCACAACTGGTTATAGCTAACATTTTTAACATTCACCTGCACGTTTTTCTAACGATCGTGCCAAATATTTCAATTTTATAGCCTACTGGCGTCAAACTCCAGGCCCGGGGGCCAAATCTGGCCCGCCACATCATTTTATGTGGCCCGCGAAAGCAAGTCAAACATGTCAACTTCCATGATGCTTGCTAAAATCTCTACCAAAATTTAAAATCTTCATATTTCATAAATTAGAGACATATTGTAAGCATTTTCTTGTGACCAAACCCCTCATTACAGTAACTTAAACAATAATTGAATAAACCGTTATGATTTAGTTTTTTAATATGGTTTCAGTCATAATGACCCTCCAAGGGAAACGCTAACTAAAATGTGGCCCACGACAAAAATTAGTTTGACACCCCTGATTATAGCCTGTTAACATGAGGCCTTTCGGTTACGGAGTGTCTCAGTCTGAACAGTATCGGGCACTATGTCAAAGGAGTACATACAGTAGCAGTCATAAACTCATTGGGTTTTTTTTTTCTTTAACATTTAATTGCCCTTTAACCCTTTCATACACCCTGTAAACTGATAGCATGGTCAGCTGTCCACTGTAGTAACCGCTGTGCCTGAAAGGGTTAAGAATGTTAACATTTGACTTAAAGCATCCGTGAATCAACAAATTGTTATTGAATTGAAATTTGAGTTCAATCCATATGTTGAATTTCGTCAAAGAAGTCTCGTTTCACCAACAAATGACAGTCGTCAGTCAGGCCATGTCTGTCGTCAGGGGGGGGAAAAAAACAACATGGCTGCCCTCACACCTGTCATAGTAAAAGTGTGAAGAGCGTAGTCAGGGGCGGCGTCACTAAAAATAAATCTTCCTTCCTCAGAGCGTCTTTGTGTCGACAGACACTTTTTCCACGGTACTTTCCTCGTTCTGTTTTTTGACACCTGTCATTGACCCGGCCACCCACCGTTGCGATTCATTGTGTGCTACAGACAGCGATGGGGCAGCGCACGTCCCTCATCATCTCATTTGTTGAAGTCCCACGAAACCAGTGTGCCGAGGATAAAATGGAAGTCAGTATGGGTGTGTGCGTGCGCGGTTTTAAAGTGACACACCGGTGCAAAAGGGTGGATGTCCTGTTCCGTCTGCAACAGCCAAGTGTCATGTTAGTCAGTTTACTGGCTTTTAGCGAAGCACTTTGCACTGTCAGCCTTCGCGTCGCACCATTTGCGACGCATCACTCACTCGGTCCACACTACATGTCACTGGCAGTGTTTTTGTGTCAACCTTTTTTTTCCCAGAATATGACAGGTTGTGATGTTTTAGCCCACAAAGGCATTTTAGGCATTGTCAGATGTTCATTGTGACGACATCATGTTTTGACAAAACACTTCCTTTTTGTGTTGTGACAGTGTGTCTCATTGTTTTTTTCTGGGATTTTTATTGCATAACACATTTTTACATTTTTTTTAAATGACCCCAAAAAAATAAATAAATAAAAATTAAAAAAACAGCTTCTCAAGACTCATGCTTTCATTTTTCAGCTAAAACATCAACAAAATGTTTTTCTTGGTTTTGTTTTTGGGGCATCCCTGTGATTGAAATACGTTACAGAAATATGATTGGTTTTTTTTTGTGTTTTCAACCAAAACATGATAAAAACAAAGAATTGTGATGTACAATTTACAGTGGTCAAATGCTTTTGACTAACTAGAAGCTATTTAATTTTGGGGGGGAAGAAAAGCTCACAAAATTCTGACACCTTCTTTTGATATTTCTTATCTCAGCATTTTCACACAAATATTGGATTAAAACAGCCAAAGTTCATTCAAGAGTTATGAAATGTAAAATCAGGGAGCAAATTAACAACCGTTCGCCGAAGGGACCGAATCTTGGCTGTAGCTAGCCATGGGGCGGCTCATTAGTTGGTACATGGAGGTGCACAACAGTAGTTGTGGTCCCAATGATGCTTCCTTAATGGAGCAGGAAGAGAATTGAAGCACAAGGACAAACGCACGCAGCTCATTACTTTCTGCCGATCGTGTACCTTTCACACCGCGACTCCAAGTGTGTGTGTTCTTGGGCTTCTTGGGCCTTTATTGCGTTTCTATGTGTTTGTATGGCAGGATGGGTGGTGCTACAATCACCTCTGGAGATGAAAACTACAAACAGGAACAAGGTTCACGATGAGAAATACAAACAATGAAGGATTTGGAAGAAATTTCCCGTTGGAAATAATCACTTCCACAGTCAAACTGTCACCATCACAAAAAAAAAAAAAAAAAAATCATAAAACACTAGTGAACTTTTTAAGTGACACAATACGTGTATTAAAAAAAACTAACTCTACAGACAATGTTTTAAATGAATAAAATCAGTAGAATTTTAACATTCATAACTCCCACACAAGTGTAACAAGAAGCTAACTTTTGCAGAACAACAAGGGGGTCTAGATCAGAGGTGGGCAACGTTTTGTTCACCAGAGCCATGTTTGATTTTTAAATTGGATAGATGGGACAAATCATTCGTAAAGCCATCCATCCATTTTCCGATCTCACAAGGGTCTCGGGGGGTGATGGAGCCTATCCCAGCTTTCTTCGGGAAGTGGGCGGGGCACACCCTGAACCGGTTGTCAGCCAATCGCAGGGCACACAGAGACAAACAACCATCCACGCTCACACCCAAACTGCCACTCACACCTAGGGACAATTTTGAGTCTTCAATCCGCCTGCCATGCATGTTTTTGGAGTGTGGGAGGAAACCGGAGTACCCGGGGAAAACCCACGCAGAACATGCAAACTCCACACAGGAAGGCCGGAGCTGGGATCAAACCCACGACCTCTGCACTGTGAGGTCGACACGCTGGATCACCGAGCCGACATCATTCCTTTATGATGATGAAAAAAAAAACCTTCAATTTTGTATAGAATATAGAATAGTTAAAGTTGTTGTGAAGAGCGACAGGTTAACACATCCGTCTCAGCTTTCAGATTCCGTGGGTGTGTCTGCTCAATATGGTGAATACATTTGATGTTCTCGCTCGATATCTTCCAACCAGCGGAATAGATGCAAACGTAGGGTGTTGTATCGCGGCATGAAGAGAGCAGATTTATCACGTTGCTCCTTGTCACTACACTATTTTCCGTGAACTCAGCTATTCGAGCTTAAATGTACTAAATGAACGCGTCGTATAAAGGAAGCAGCGTCGCAGCAACCGTCAATGCATTGAGGAACATTTGCATTTTACAGACACAAAGTCAAAGACACAATCACACCATCGTCGTAGCAACAAAATCCGTAATTGGAAGCGCGTCGCCAATTTCAGATGACTTTACGACTTTAGACTTTGTCCCAAGCTTCCGCAGTCCTCGCTTGGTTGGGGGAACCGTTCGCAGTGAGGCAATGTTGGAATTTGCAGTGCAAACGGGAGTAAACACGACAAGGTGGCCTGCGGGGACAAAGCGCTGATGCAGGAAAGACGCCTCAATTGCATGCAAATTCTTCAGACTGTTCACTGCGCAAACTGCCCTCAACCTGGGCTAACATTGATGATGATGTCACCTCCTGTGTGCAGTAAGTCATGGCGTAGCGGGTACATATTTGGGGATTCCGATTCTTGCGAAGTGAAACGTGTCACGGCGCCAGCAGGGCACATGTAGACAAACAACCCTTCACATTCGCATTCACATGTGGAGAAGACGCATGCAAGCACCGGAAACAAACATCGCACGGGATTAGCCTGCTAAGCTAACAATTTGAACATTCACTTTTAGAACTGCCAGGAGTGTGTCAATGAAACTTCTCGCGACATTGAAATATTCTCCCCCGAAATCTTCACATGGAGACAAATACCACTGGTGTTCAAAAGAATGCAAACCATTTGCGTTGCTCTCTTAAAAAGAAAGTATTTAAGCTTTCAGATAAAATGATCGCGACTTCTTTGTTTCATTGTACACATGGTTTGACAATCTTCAATTTAATGCAATTTCAAGTGTCATATTCAAAAGAGAAGCAGTTTTTTCCCCTCTCCGTACCCATTGTGAAAAGAGCACCTAGCAACACCCCACAATGATTTTTTTCCCCCGAGAAGAAAATCTGAATTCTCCTTACACTTTGC